TTTCCTAAGGCACAGGGCGGGAGACGTGAGCCCCAGGGTCAGTCAGTCTTATGGGATCAGTTCTCTTAACCACCAGGCCATTGGCTGGCTCTGTCAGTTCTCATTTCTTTCTTCTTCTTTTTTTAACTTATTATTATAATTTCCAGTAAAGCAACTGAAGATACTAGAAACAGTATAGGAGCAGGTGGGTAACAGAGGGAAGGTGGGAGGAGTTCAATGGAAAAACAAACATTGAACAGAAACAAAAACGAGGCGTTATCTTTGGCAATGACGTCCACGGTAATATCAGCTCTCACCCCGGTCCATACACCGTCGGTATCCTCCTCCTGACTGCCACCTGCCCAGCCGCATGTAAATCAAGCTCGAGTCTTCCCATGTTAAAGAACAGAGACAGAACTGCCCCGTCCCTCGGACACCCCGACCCCCTTCGAGCCAGCTTCCCTGAGAGAGCTGCTTCTGTTGACCTCCTCTCCTTTCACTTCTTCACCCCTACCACCTGCCCTCGGCCCTCACTAAAATTATCACTGAGCAGAAAAAGAGGACCCGAACTCTCCAGAGCCCTGACGTGTCAAGCCGCACAAACTTGATCCGCAAGAGCTGCTGGTTTCGAAGAAGTGGAAAGTGATCTCTGACGGACAGTAGGAACGCGGCTGTGAGCGGCATCAGACCCTGCTGGTCGCTCTCTCCTTAAAAGCTCTTTCTGTGGCTTCGGAAATGAACACGCACAAGACACACACGACGTGCACAGGTGTATCAGCAAAGGTCGTGTCAGGGGTTTCGAGGGGTCGTCTAGAAGTTCACGGAAGATGCAGATCAGGGGACACTGTGCGTCCAAAAATGTTTGCACCCAATTGAACTCACGCTCCAATTCCATTTGTCCAGACCCTCTTGAAGTGCCCTCTGATATACGGAAGAAATAATCATTGTTCTAATTACTTGTGATATTTTTAGAAAAAAATTTAAAAGATGATTAAAAATACAACTAAGTTCAAAAAGAGAAATATGGCTTTGAAATGCACGGGGATATATTCTGAATACTTAACGGCCTCTCCAGCCACGAGACATGTGATGTCTGAGAGGCAAGTGGGGTAAGGAGGAGCTCTTGAATTGTTCCAAGTTTAAGAGCGGAAAGAAGTCACGTGGCTGCGATCCCTGCTCTGATGAAAAGACAGACATCACAAACTATAAAAATGTATCTTTTATCCCTTACACCTTCATGCTGAGGCTCATCCTCCCCCACCCCCATTCTTTCTCTTCAGCCTAAAAATATACCCAAATCACTCCTACCCTTACACGGGATTTTCCAGCCCTGCTCCTCTTTCAGGTTCTTATGCAATCTCTGTCCATCCCCGCTTCCCCACCGCCTCCCCTTGCTGCAGTCTCACGTTCGCCCACGACCGTCTACTGCAGTGGCTTATTCGGGTCAGCGGTCACCTCCTGATGGTCCAGTCTGACAGTCCCTCCCTAGCGATCCTCCTGTTCCTCAGCCCGAAGCACTGGCTGGTGACCTCCCTTCCTCCCCACCCCACCCCGTGCCCGTGTTTCCGGACCTTTCCATTCCTGGGCTTCCATGTTAGGGCCAGCCCCTCTCACTGGCCCCTGAAGCATAGGCATCCCCCACGGCCACCTCTGTTTCGCTCCTGCTACCTCCTCTCACCCGTAATCTCTCACTTTCCACCTTTCTGAGGCCGATGGACGTCAACCCGCGCCATCTCCAAACCCCTGAACTCCATCCTCATGGATGACCCACAGACATTGGAAACTCAGTGCAGAGGGTCCCCCACGGAAGCTGGTTCAGTTTGCAGTCTTTTGATTTTACAGTGGTGCAACAGCAATACATATTGAGTAGGAAAGTGTACCCGTACAGACATTTTCTTTTTCACTCTCAGTAAAATATTTAATAAATGACGTGAGATCCTCAACATTTTAATATAAAATAGACTGTGTTTGCATTCGATGATTTAGCCCAACTGTAGACTAACCTAAGTGCTCTGGACACATTGAAAGGAGGAGAGCCTAAGCTCTGATGCCTACATCATGCCTACAGCGTGGTCACAAATCTCCATGTGCCATCCCTGTAACATCCAGCAGCCCACCTGCCACTAGCCTGTAGCTAGCAGTCCCTTTCTGAGCACCCCTTACACTCCCGAATCTCTGTCCTTGACGTTGGTCCCTCAGCAAGACTGACCTGTTACACTTTCTGTTGAAAATCTGTCCCTCTTCAATACCCAGCTCCTCGCCCTGAGAGCCTTTCTGTGAGGGTAGAAGCAATCGCTCCCTCTGAAGGATGCTTTCTTTTGCCCTCTCCTGTAGCATTTGACATGTTTAACTTTACATTTGAAAACTTCTTTTAGCCAATTATCTTTGCTTCAGAAGTTCCTGGCCACTTCCAGCTCCACCCCAGAGCTGCTGTGAGCCCGTGCAGCGTCACAGAAGGAAGGGGGCCCAGTCCTCACCATTCTCTCTTCTCGATCCGCCCTGACAGCTGGAACCACTTCTCCCTCACGTTTCTACCCCATGGGGCTGACCCAACAAAACAAGGCAAGAAAACGATGTAGGAGCTCAACAAATTTTACTTGAACTCAATTTTTTTTTATAAAAACATAGCTAATATTTCTTTCCTAACAAGCAAATAATATTTCTAAAGTAAAAACACATTTTAGAGCAAACTTTGCAACTTGAACAAACTTTGAACAAATTGAGTTCATAAGCAAAGGGCATTGTGTGGCGAAGAAATGGCAGGAGAAGTAATGTTCCTTCAGAGTGGAAATTTCCTTTAAGACTAGAAAGATAAAATTAAGGTGTTTCCAGAGAGAAGAAAAAGGATCGTTTTCTCCTGCCTTAAAGACACCGTTAGATTTTGTTTTGGTGGTTTACTGCCTGACAAAAGCCAATTGATTTTTCATGCTGTCTTGTGCTCCTGCACAGAAACCAGGGAATGAGATGCCCGCGAGCACCTTCAGGGCCCGAACCAGGCTGAAGGAGGGCCTGGGGAGCCCTGGCCTCCAGCTCCTGGAAGGTTCATTTCCCCTGTAGCAATGGGCAGAAGACCTGTTGTTCCTTCTGCAAAAAAGACAGGAAGAATTAGCGTCCACAGTGACACTAAAACACCTCTTGCTTCCACCTTCTTGACTGAAACCTTGACATGGCAATAGAATTTCCAGGGACCTGATGGGACACAGTCCCCTTGGCAAATTCATCCAGTAGTTGATCTCTTTTATAAACCATTTGATACAATATAGCTATTAATACTGTAGGTGGGAACCGGCAGTTAGTGTAATGGCTATGTCGCTGGACTCCCACATAGTCAACCGGGGTTCACGTCCTGGACCCAGTGGCTTAAACTCACGCCGGGCACGTGTGCGTGCATGCCCAAGATCCCAAGAGGAGAATGGAGGAGAAGGGATTGCGGCGTGACCGTCCCCTCTGGGGGGGGGTGATTTCTCACTTTCTGTCTCTGTCTCTCTCTCTCTGTCTGGCGAGCGCACGCACCCTATAGCAAAAACCTCTCCAAAAAGAAAAAAAACTGTAGGCGTTTAAGGAAGAGGAGGGAATGAACGTACGGGTAGAGATAGATGTTCGTTTCGTTGTTATTTCTAAGAGCAAAAAATGAAAAATAACTAGCAGTGGACGTATGATTAATTTATGGATACATTTATTTATATGTTAGAATTTTTCATTCATTCAGAATGTTGTGATAGTATCCAACTATCAGAAGAGTTTTCTGTGGGAACCAGCAGTTAGCATAATGGCTATGTAGCTGGATTCCCATGTAGCCAACCGCGGTTCGCGCCCGGGGGGGTGATTTCTCGCTTTCTGTCTCTATGTATCTCTCTGTCTGTCTGGCGAGCGCACGCACCCTGTAGCGAAAACCTCTCAAAAAAAAAAAAAAAAAAAGAGTTTTTTGTGTTATGTTAAATACAGGGAGAGCAGGATGCAAAGTCATATCTCAACTAGATAAAAATATGAACTAAAAGAGTTTGAATTATTATTGACTTTTTCTGCAAAGCGTGATTATAATTTTTAAATTTTTTATTATGTCTCTAATGTTCTCCATTTTCTCTGTCAAACACCCATGTTCTTGCAACTATGTTTTTTTAATCATTGTACTCTAAACTATGTGGGTGCGGGACTGTCACCAAGCACCAGATGTGGTCTCGTAGTGGGACTGATCTGGGAGAGTTTCCCAATTTTGACACCCCCTGGTACAAACTCCAGCTAAGTGTGTTAACTCTTCCTTGAAATGAAGCCTGCACTGGGCCAGCCGTGGCAGTCCCACCAGAGCTCTCCATCTTAGAGTGAAGTTCCACCAGAGCTCTGCATCTTAGCGTGAAGTTGAGAGGCACCAAGATCAAAAGCCTTCTGAGGCTTGATTTGAGGAAAACTCATTAACTGGAAGGAAGTTGTGAGCAGATGTGACATCCTTAAAAAATAAAGCATATTTCAGACAGAACTGGGCCCAGCACCTGGACTGCTTGCAAAATGGACTGAGAAGTGTATAGGGGTGTTCAGGAGTGCTTTCCAGAGCAGCCGCCTCCCTCGAGCTAGGACTGCAGGAGGAGGAGGAGGAGGAGGAATGGGAGACGATGGGAATGAGTCACTGAGATGTTTTCAAAGCTCCCTTCATCGCCTGCCTTTATCCATGTTGTTGGGTAGAACGACAGGCGCGTCCCCACGGGTGCAGGTTCGCAGCAGCGTTGTATCTTGGCTAAAGTAAGAGACACCTAGAGATGGATTCCGGGCACTATGTTAAGCCGAGCCCTGTGGGTTCCAGTGCTGGCGGGAGCTGTGGAACAAGGTAGCTTTGCAGGAACGTGACATGTGGATAGCTAAAGCACATATGTTGTATGGCAGTAACTCAAAGGAGGAGTTAGAACAAGGACTTGACTGCGGAGAGCTTCTACTTAGGAATAGAGGCTCCCCAGGAGCGCAGAACAGTCTGTGAGGAAGAGACAAGAAAGAAGGCGAAATACGTGAGGAGATCGTATAACAAGTGAAATTTTATTACTTTCAATATATCGAGGCTGTGTCCTGGGGTTCCCGAATCTTGGAAGAAGCAGGAGGCAGCATGTGAACACAAACTACCGGCCCTCCGTAAACAGTAGCTGAGTGCATGGATACCCGTTCCTTTCTTCCAAACTGGAATTTTTTGGTGAAATTCATTTTGTCAATGTATGTTCAAAACAGCTGAAGTATCTAACACACCATAGATTCCCCAAAACATAGTCAAGGACACTCATTCATGGCTCAGCCTATGTGATTATTTGAAATATTTGCTTCCCAATCCTCATGCTCGGCCCTCTGTCCTGAGAATGGTAGGCAGTGCATTTGAGAAGCCATATTTATGCTCGGCCCTCTGTCCTGAGAATGGTAGGCAGTGCATTTGAGAAGCCAAATTTACGCTCGCCCTCTGTCCTGAGAATGGTAGGCAGTGCATTTGAGAAGCCATACTTTGCATTTGCCTTAGGATGACTTGGTTGGGGGCAGGGGAGTATTTTTGCCTTGTATACAAATGTGTTGGTTATTGCTCTGCAGGGCCGACTGTTATTTATATTATCAAATTAACTCCTTTCTGCAATTAGTGACGTAAAGATGCAGGCAAGTACTGAGCAATAAAATAAAATTATATTTTTATTTGAATTTAATTTCTGCACAAATGAGGTTGCAGAGCTTGTTTGCTGTGAAAGCTGGAAATAACCTGTCAATCTCATTGGCCTGTGGGGTCATGGGTCACATGTCAAAGCTTCCTTTAATGAGAAGTAGGCGGGGAACAGTTGGGAGGGCCTGGCTTCTTTCTTTCTTTCTTTTAAATTTATTTATTTTACATTCATTCACTGGCCTGGCTTGCTTTCTTTTAAATTTATTTATTTCACACTCGCTCACTGGCCTGGCTTTGCAAGCTTGCTGCTAGTGAAGGGTTGTCCTTGTGAGACAGCGCTGCTTTGCCAGGAGCTGGTTCACCCTTGAGCTGGTTTTCCTAGAGAGGCAGTGAAGTCATTGCTGACACTCATTGAAACTCTGGGCACATAGTCGCACTGTGGCTGTCCTCTCAGAAAACCGATTCCTTTACCGAGGGACAAAGTAAAACTACCTGGATTTAGACAGGATTCGGCCTGTCATTTCACAAGTGACGCTATGGTTCTGTGGGTGCCATCACTTTGTGGTTTCTCATGTGGCCCTAGGCAGACCTCCAGGTCCCCCTCCAAGCCCCTCTGGCTTGCCTGCCCCCTGCCACATCTCGGAGCATGACCCTGGAGTGACTGCATAGATGTAGTATACTCCTCTTCCTCCTGATTTGCCTGGATCAAATGAATCTGCTTCTCACCTGACCTGGCTGCCTCTCTCTTGCTTACCAACCCTCCACTCTCGCCCCCGTCCCTGACTTACCCAGTCTCGTTGCTGTGTGATTCCTGCTATAACAGAAGACCTGGATGCACAGGCTCTCTGTGAACCGTTCCGTCTGCCAAAGCACCTGTGAAGCTGTGAGCAGAAAGCGCTAAGAAAGTCAGAGCAGCCAGTGTTTAACCATTTGAGCAAACATGGTGGGCCATGGACTTAAGCTTTGTAAACTCTGGCAAATAGTCTTGTGATTGCGAAGATCAGAAGCTGATTTTTTCTCAAAAGGTAGAATGACTTGCATGCGAAATTGGTGGTTTCTAAAGCTGGAAGGAGGTGACTTACTCTTTAGACCTGAAAACCAGGAAGGATGAAAGTTTCCCTTTTCCTAATGATGAAGAAACTGTTTCCCACTTCGCACCATCTAAAGAATATCATACCATCAGCCTAGTAGATTTTTTGTCACCATATTGCCAGTGGACATGCTTGGCAAGACCGAGCTGAGAATTTTGGCATTTTCATTTTTCCTTTGGCATAGTTTTTCATCAGCCTGAAATTCTGGAATGCATTTCCATGGTATATTTGGAAAACGCAAATTGGCAAGATAAGCTTTCAGAATTTCACCACCTATCTCTTTGAAAGCACGCGGAATTATCAGCACTACTTCTGTAAGGTCTTGCTTTCTTGGCCCTGCCGTGCTTCTCAGGGCCTGTGAGCAAGTCCCTGTGCCCTCAGGGCTCCCCGACTTCACCCTCCGACCCAAGGAATACAGCAGCCTGTCAGAGGCTGGTGCCCTGGAGGAGGCAGGAGCGAATGCAGGGGTTGCTAATCTGTTTATGGATGTGTTTGCATTTTGTGTATCTGGTTTTATTTCACAGTGTTTGTAGGTTTTGCTTATATCTTAGGCATTTTTGTGGGCAATATAAAAATAGAAAAGTCCAGGGAAATAAACTTGCTTATATAAAAAATGTCTAAAATCTCAGTCTTCGGATGCTGTGGGAATGATCTCACGTGCTCCTGCTCCACACTTGGGGAGCTCTGAGCCTGGGGTGTCGTGTGCAGCCCCTGGCGATGCAGGCAGACTCCTGCATGTGCGTCCTGAGCCCTAATTACTAGGTGGTGACGGGAACATGTCACTTACACATCTTGGGCATTAGTCTCTCCATCTGGAAGTCGGATTTCAAGGCATTGGCCACTATAAGCACTGCGTGTGCGATTGCAGTTACTTCCCCGGCACCCACGGATATCCAGGGCTGTCACACAGGGCTTGGCATCCTAGGACATGAGTGGCAGTGTAGCAGACCCTGCATGTGCTTCTAGGATCAACTCTCCATGACAGTGAGGAGAAGAGACGCAGCTAGGAATATTTCTAGGGAATATATTCCTTATCTCACAGTAGGGATAAAAAGAAATGTAAAAGTTAACCCAACCACATGTTGGTGGAGTTTTGTGTGTATTTTGTTTTTTAAATGCAACATGTGAAATAATAAGAGAGAACTATTGGAGGGAGGTTTTCCAAAAGCTTATAAAATGTGTATTATGAAGAAACCACACATGCATTTCAAAATTGGGGGTACACTGAGCCAGCAGGTAGTGTGGTGGTTAAGGTGCCGGATGGCTTAACCACATGACTGACCATGGTTTAAGTCCTGGGCTTGGCAACTTGGAAATCACAGTGGATACATCTGTGTAAATACCCAAAATCCCAGGAGAAGGGACTGTGGCGTGGCCGTCCCCTAGGGGATTATTTCTTACTTTCCCTCTGTGTCTCTCTCCGACGGGTGCACGCACCCTATGGCAAAAACCTTAAAAAGATTTTTTTTGTGTGCACTAAAATAAACTTGTACTTTAATTTCATTTTTTACTATGAAGTTTTTGAAGTATGGTGAGTCCAAAATGACCAGAGAAGTATTTCCTCAGTGTCTCTTAAGTGAAATAAAGCTGTCTAACTTAGCCAATAGTAACTGGGCCTCTCACCCCTTAGGACAGAGCCTCCGCTCTGACCTCAAGCCTTGGGAGATACGGTCTGGGCCAAACTGTTCTGGGCCTGTTTCTGATGTGGATGTGAGGTCAGTTTGTGTGTGTGTGTGTGTGGTATGTTCATGTGTGGAGGCATGCCATAAGAGGACTAAGATTTAGTTGGAGATGAGCCTGCTAGAATATACATCTTACTTGCTTGGGATTGTTTTTAAGGCTCACTTTGGCCCTAATGACCTCCCTCAATGACCTCCCTCAAAGAATGAATCAACCAGACAAAACTGGGTGTGGCACAGCTAGTCCATGAACTGCGGGGTCATGGCCATCGCAGTCCTTGTCTGCTGACCGCATGCATGGCCTGATAACAGGTGCCCAGACCGTGCGAGTAATCTGCCTGGGATCAGGTGTTGGGAAAAACAAGAACTGGCTGTTAGTGCTACCTCTGCGTGGCCCAGTAATGGAATCCCTTTACCTCCCTCATAGATGCTCCTTACAGAGCCAGCCAGCAGCCTGGGGATTTAGGCAGCTAGATCCCACATGGCTGACTGTGTGGCTGGAGTCCCAGGCTTGGCAGCGTGAAGAGCACACCAGGCTCATGTGCATGCATGCCCAACATCCCAGAAACGAGTACACATGGAGTAGAAGGGATTGCAGGTTGACTGTGTCCCATGACGGTGCTTTCTTCCTCTCCTCCTTTCTCTCTGTCTCACCTCCGTGAGTGTACATGCCCTCCACACCGCCCCCCAAAAAAAGAAAACCTCATTTCAGTTAAAAACTGTAGATGGTCTAAGGAACATTTGGGCAAGTAGCTTAGAAATAATTCTACAGTAGTCACTCTAGTTTCTAGTCCAAAAATGCATGCATATCACCTAACAGAATTCTTTTTCAATTTGTGAATTTATTTTAAAAGTATTATATGAATTACATCAGCTTTTGTAATCATGTATTTAATAAATCATGTTTATGGAAAGGAATAAAACTTCATTAAATTGAACCAGCCCCAAGAAAATGTAAGATAAATGGTCCTGGCAGTGCCTCCTTTCAGAGTCCGGGCTTAGTGTGCCGGTGGAATGGAAAGAGATTTCTTCTTATTTTCAGATGCCCCAGGGTGATTTTTCCCCTTGCATTTTCCAGATATTTGATGCCATAATTCCATTCTCCTGTGTGTAGACAGCACATACTACATCTGACCACGCTCGGAAGTTTGATTGTCTGCTACCCTAGCATACATGTCGAGAGTGTGGAGTGCAAGTCCATTCAGTGTGACAGCTTTTGGGCCAGCTCTGGGGAGTGTGACAAGCAGTAGTCCAACTACTACACTAGCAAAATCTAGATTTCCCTTTCTCTGAGCTCCACCAACAGCTCTTCCAGCTTGTATATACTCTTTTCACTGCACGATCTAGAAAGTAAAGAATAACCAATAAGGCCAAGCTAACTAAGTAGAACACCCAATGTGGGATCTCAGTAGCGAAGCTACTGGACAGGATTCCAGGGAAACTTTGTGAGAAGTTTCTTCCAGCACACTGGAGCTGTTTTGTACAATGTGGCCCTTTCACCAGTACAGGTGAGGCTGTTTTCTAGAGCTAAAACCATGACTGGCCTGGCCACCCACGGAGCTTACGAGCTAGCTTTTGAATGGAGAATGGATTGAAGGCGGGGTGCTGGGTCATACTGAAGACTAAAGGAATTTCTCTGTCTACCTTAATACTTAGTCGTAAAATGGAATTTCTTTTTAGGAAAAAAAGGATCAGAAGGAAATTTCCGACTTTACATGGTGTCAATGATAGTACACGATCTGCTTACCTTACTCCTGGTCGGCCTAACAGAGTCACTACCGAGTGACGTGTTCTTTGTTCACTTGACCTGAGCCCTAAACTGTGTTCCGTGCCCTCCGCAGAATTCAGCTTTGGATTGCA